CCACCCCCCCTAGTCAAACAAGTCCAGCCAGTCTCATCAAAGGAAATTAAAAAGCTGGGAGGGAACATAGAGGTCATCTATGACGACCGCCTCTTGTTTCCAATGAAGAAACACAGGCTCAGAGAAGGTGTGTAACTTACCATAAGAAGCAATTCTCCCGATTTGTAATCCCGTGGTAGATGCCTGAAGACCTGGCACCCTCAAGTTTTCAAAACAGGGCTTTCCCCGGGCAGGAGATGTCTGCAACTTGAAACTTACAGTCTTGGACTTCTCACCAGTCTTCCTATCTTTTCATCTAATGCATTTGTTCTCCTGAGTAGGAAGTGTCATCTCCTACTATTGCAGACAATTCTGGAGCTGTTTTTGCATTTTTTGTTGGGGGCAGTACTGGAGTTTAAACTGAAGGCCTAGAACTTGCTAGGCTGTCATTCTACTTGAGCCATACCTTCACCATCAACTTGTTGCTGATTTTTTTTTTCAAGATAAGATCTCCTGAACTTTTCTCTTGATCTGGCCCCCAACTTCCATCCTTCAACTCTCAGTCTCCAGAGAAGCTAAAATTGTAAGTGTGAGCTACTGACACTCGTGTTCTCACTCTTAACCCAGTCTTTAAGACCTAGAAGGGATCTGTTATCCCAATCTGCCCCTCAAGATGACATTATTATTGTTTTGTTTTGTGGGGTTTTTGTTGTTGTTCTGTGTGTGTGTGTGTGTGTGTGTGTGTGTGTGTGTGTGTGTGTTGTGGGGCTTGAACTCTGGGCCTCCGCACTATCCCTTAGCTCTTCAGCTCAAGATGAGCATTCTACCACTTGAGCCACAGCGCCACTTCCGGTATTCTCCAGTTATTTGGAGATAAGAGTCTCAAGGACTTTCTTGCCCAAGCTGGCTTTGAACCATGATCCTTAGATCTCAGCCTCCTGAGTAGCTAGGAAAACAGGTGTGAGCCACCAGTGCCTGGCTTATTATTATTAGTGTTACTATTTTGTTAATGGTACTAGGGTTTGTACTAGAGCCTTGTACTTGCTAGCAAGCTGCCCCTTAAAATACTTTAAGAAGGTCCCAGCTACTTAGGAGGTAGAAATCTGGAAGAACATGATTTGAGACCAGGCCTGAGTGAAAAAGTTAGTGAAACTCCATCTCAATAAGCTGTCAAGACAGTACATAAATGTAATCCCAGCTACAAGAGAGATTGTATATAGGAAGATCATAGTCTGAAGTTAACCCTGGACAAAGCCATCAGACACATAAAAAAATAAGCAAAAAGGACTGAGGGTATGGTTCAAGTGGTAGAGCACCTTCCTATAAATTCCTATAAATCCAAATCCCAGTACCACCAAAAAAGAAAAAAGAAAAAGGAAAAAGAAGATACCTAGAAGCAAGGAGAGTGTCTAGAAGAAGTTGGCTTTGTTCTCTAATGCTGGTCCCCTAGGGCTTGAACTCAAGGCCTTGGCTCTGTCCCTCAGCTTCTTGCTTAAGGCTAGTGTTTTACCTCTTTTTTTTTTTTGGTCGGTTGTGGGGCTTGAACTCTGGGCCTGACTGCTGTCCCTGTGCTCTTCAGCTCAAGGCTAGCGCTCTACCACTTGAGCTACAGGGCCACTTCCGGTTTTCTGGTAGTTTATTGGAGATAAGAGTTTCACGGACTTTCCTGCTGGGGCTGGCTTTGAACCGTGATCCTTAGATCTCAGCCTCCTGAGTAGCTAGGATTACAGGCGTGAGCCACCGGTGCCTCGCTAGTGTTTTACCTCTTAAGCTCCACTCCCAGATTTTTTGGTAGTTGATTGGAGATGAGTTTCACCAATTTTCCTACCTGAGCTGACTACGAGCCATGATCCTGAGCTTTCAGCCTCCTGAGTACTAGGATTACGGGTGTAAACCACCAGTACAGGGAGCTTTCTGTATGGTAGAACTCTAGTGGTCTCCTTTATGCTTCTCTTTTTTTCTCCTACATTTTGAAACAAAGGTACATTCATTTGTAATTTAGATGTCATCTGCCTTATTCTTTGAGACTGTAGTAAAAATGGACTACAGAAGGCAAAACTTTCCTAAAATTTCTGCCAATTTCTAGAAACTTAGATTCTCAGTATTTTTGCTTCTGGGCTCCTACTTCTGTCAGACTATTGCCATACCACAGTTCAGAAATCTAAAGATGAAACCCAGACCTTCCTGGAGACTGCCTACACCTCTTCCCACATAAAACATTTGTGAGCACAGAGCCTTTAAGATACTAGGAGCCCTGAGCAGTCATGTGATACAGAGCAAGCAATGTAAATCCACCTTTCAGACCTTCAATTCTTTTTCTTTTTTTGCCAGTACTGGGGCTTGAACTCAGGGCCTTGGGGCTGTCCCTGAGCTTCTTTAGCTCAAGGCTAGTACTCTACCACTTGAGCCACAGCACCACTTCCAGCTTTTTGAGGATAATTTATTAGAGATAAGAATCTCTCTAACTTTCCTGCTTGGGCTGGCTTTGAACCAAGATCCTCATATCTCAGCCTCCTGAGTAGCTAGGATTACAGGTGTGAGCCACCAGTGCCCAGCTCAGGCCTTCCATTCTTAATCCTCCTGCCTCTGCCTGAATGTTGGTATTACAGACAGGAATCACCATGCCCTTCCTGCCCTACTGAGTTTTTGTGTTTGGCTTTTGATGGTTTCATCTTTTTTTTTTTTTTTGTACTAAGATTTGACCCCAGGATCTGTTGTTTGCTAGACAATGGCTCTATCACTTGAGCCACACTCCCAATCTCCTGCTGGAATTCTTTTTTTTTTTTTTTTTTTTTTGCAGGTCATGGGGCCTGAACTCTGGGCCTGGGCGCTGTCCCTCAGCTCTTCAGCTCAAGGCTAGCGCTCTACCACTTGAGCCACAGCACCACTTCTGCCTTTTTCTGCTTATGTGGTGCTGAGGAATCGAACCCAGGGCCTCAGGCATGCAAGGCAAGCACTCTACCACCTTCCCAGCCCCCCTTCCTTTCTTTTCTAATCTTTCCTTCTTTCCTTCACTCATTTGGAGGCCCTGGGGTTTGACTCTGAGCTCTGCTAGGCGAGTATTCTTCCTCTTGAGTTACACTCTCAACCACAATAGCTGTACTGTCCTGTGTCTTCCCAAAGTTTATGAGTGTCTTGGAGAGAATCAGACACAAGACAGTCACTCCATTTTCAAGAAAGATAAGCTATTTTTGAAACTTGAAGCCAAAAAAAGCTAGAAATTAGCTTTTCTTGCCCCCTAAAAATGTCCCTCAAGATGTCAGTTACTAACCAGGCACCAATGGCTCACACCTGTATTCCTAGCAATTCAGGATCATAGTTCAAAGCCAAGTTGGGCAGGAAAGTCTGTGAGACTCTTTATCTCCAGTTAACCACCAGAAAACTGAGAGGTGGGCAGGAACAGGGAACTCTGACACCAGACTGCCTGGGTTCAGAGCCCAGCCCTGCCACTGACTAACTGGGTTGACTTTGGTCAAGTGTTTCTGCATCTCTGAACTTGGCTTTTCACACGAGAACAATGAAAATGACAGTGCTGCCTTTCCACAGGGATAAGGACTTTCTTGGCATATGAACAAGTGCTAATTAGCCAAAACACGTTGTTAGCTGGGCGCTGATGGTTCATACCTGTAATCCTAGCTACTCAGGAGGCTGAGATCTGAAGTTCATGGTTCAAAGCCAGTCTGAGCAGGAAAGCCTGCAAGACTCATCTTCTAATTAACCACCAAAAAGCCAGAAGCAGAGCTGTGGCTCAAGTGGTAGAGTACTAATCTTGAGCAAAAAAGCTAAGGATAGTGCCCAGCCCCTGAGTTCAAGCCCCAGTACTAGGGCATGTGCATGCGCGCGTGTGGGTACACACACACACACACACACACACACACACACACACACACACACACACTGCTTACGGAGCATCTACGCTATACCTTGCAGTTTCCCAGCTAATTTACTGCTTGTGGCAACCCTTGGAGCTAGCTCATGGCTCTTGTCATTTTATATTGCTTTTTTCCTCATATCCTCTCACTCAGTGACCTTATTTCCTAAGAGGACAGAGACTCTGGAGGACAGAGGACCGAGACTCTAGCTATAGGGAGATTCACTTCCTCTTTCTCATGCTCCCACCCGGAGCTTGTCAGCACACCTAGCAGATTCACTCTCTATGCTTTCCTATCCCACCCCTGTCCAGGCTTAGCTGTTGCCACAGCAATAAGACTTGTCTCTTCCAGTTGGGTGTTAACCTGTAACTCCTTCATTTTGCTCTCTATGTAATAAGGTACCAAAGTCTAATTAATTAGGCCTTTTTTTTTTTTGGCTATTCTCAAATCTGTTTCTGTGCCAGGTCTCCTATCTACTGCCTTGTACCAGTCTTTGTGTCACACACACACACACACACACACACTTGGGGGAAGAACCAGCCTTTCTCTTACCTGAGTAGCCAGAATAGCAGGCATGAGGCAGGGGAGTATCATGAAACAAGGCTGCCAGTGTGAGTTGGGGATGGGAAGTGACCTGAAAACCCTCAGAACTGTGGGAATTTAGAGGAAAGCCAAGCTTTAGGTAGGAGGAACTGGGATTTCAGATTGCCCTCACTTTTATTCATTTCCTTTTTTTTTTGTGGTGCTGGTGCTGAGGATGAACTCAGAACCTTCCTTCCCTGCTTACCCCTCCCTTCCTCCCTCCTTCCCTTTCTTTTCTTTTTTCCTTTTTGGTAATATTCAAGTATGGATATATGAATTAATGAAGTAAGAAAGTAACTCATTCATTTCATTCAGATGCATTTGCAATGTAATGATGTATTTGTTTCATATTTATCTGCAATGGTTATAATATTTTTATTATTCTGATCAGGTGCATATTACTAAGACTTGCAATAGCCACTTAAACCAGAAGAAAAATTTTCACCAGAGGGCTTTTTGGGGGCAGTAGCGCAAATTGTGCAAATTCCACTGCCTCTGAAACCTGTGCCTGGTCTCCAGGAAGTGTGAGAGTGGAAGGCAGGGGAGGTGGACAGACTTGGGCCAATATGTTTCCAACAACACTTTTTATTTGGAAGTACGTCCTCCATGACTCGGTGGCAGCCTGGGGTCGGTGGCCCTTGTCTGCGTGTTCACTGCCTTTCTCAGCCCTGCTCACTGGGTCCTTGGAGCTAAAGCACAGGGCCTTAAGTATCGACATACCCGTGCGTACCCTCCGTGGACTGGGCCTAGGAGCTGGCACAAGAGGTGACCCATGTTCTATCCTGGATCAGCTTCCGGTTGGAGGGCTGAGTTCCTGGCACCAGGACCTCAGAGCCCTCCCCTAGCAGATGTCAGCGTTGTCCACAGGCCAGCTGTGGCCAGCTGCGGCCAGGTTCTGGTAGACATGATGTTGGGAAGAACAAGAGATGAGGTGAGGCTAATTTTCTGGTGCGGGGTCCAATTTCTCTTCCTGAGAGGTGGAAGCCGGGGCAGGAGTCTCCTCCCGGCCATTGAGGGACTGGTGCTGCTCTCTGCGGTTGGGGGAGGGGGTCCTACTGCTCTGGGATCCCCAGCGGGTCAGGCGCTTTAGGGATGAGGCCCCGCGGCCAAGTAGAGAGGGCTGGAAGCCTGTGAAGGAGCTGCTGGTGACAGGCCGCTTATCTGGCAGAGAGAAGACAGGCAAATAAGGGGGAAAGGACACACACTGGAACAGGGAGGAGGGAGGGCCTTACCGACCTGCTCCGGGGAGATGAGCATCTGTGACCTTTAGTTCTACCTGGCCCTGGAGATGTGGAGGTATTCCTGTATTCTTTTCCAACCCTCAGGAAAGTCTACCCCTTCTTACCTCCAGGCTCAATTGGGTGCATGAGCCTGTTCATCTGGACATTCCAGTGTTTCACGTTAGTGCTGGCTTGGTGCAACTTCCTCTGGGCAGCCTGTTGGGGCACAGCCAGTGAGGAATGGGTCAGAACTATAGTCCATGGCAGGGATTCTATTCTTTGCATGTTATTAATTTTTTTTTGGGTGGGGGGGTCCAGTCATGGGGCCTGAACTCTGGGCCTAGGCGCTGTCCCTCAGCTCTTCAGCTCAAGGTTAGCACTCTACCACTTGAGCCACAGCGCCACTTCTGGCTTTTTTTCTTTTTGCTTATGTGGTGCTGGGGAATCGAACCCAGGGCCTCAGGCATGCAAGGCAAGTGCTCTACCACTGAGCCACTTTCCCAGCCCTCTTTGCATGTTAAAAGCCTCTCAGGGGGCTGGGAAGATGGCTCAGTGGTAGAGTGCATGCCTTGCAAGCATGAGGCCCTGGGTTCGATTCCTCAGTACCACACAAACAGAAAAAGCCGGAAGTGGCACTGTGGCTTCAGTGGTAGAGCGCTAGCCTTGAGCTAAAGAGCTGAGGGACAGTGCCCAGACCCAGAGTTCAGGCCCCATGACTGGCAAAAAAAAACAAAACAACAACAACAAAAAAAAGCCTCTCAGGATGTGACCAAAGCTACTGATCATTTCCCTGGAGAATGCGTGTATGTTCAAAAAAAGTTTTCTATGTGAATGTAAACTTTGTTTGCCTCCAATTTCAAAGGACTCATGGATCTCCACAGGGTCAAAAATAAACATGTTGGGCCCAGTTGTATATGCCAGTATTCAGGGGCAGAGACAGAAGGACTGCAGGTTGAGGCTAGTGCACTAAATACTTAACAAGACCCCTATCTCAACAAACAAGCTGGATATAAGGGTATGGGAGTTCATGGATGTCTCCAATCCTAGCAACAAGGGAGACACATAGATAGGAAGATCACAGTTTGAGGCTGGCCCTGGGCATTTTTGCTCAATCTAAGACATTATTTGAAAAATAACTAAAGCAAAAAAGGTCTGGGGCTAATGGCTCAAGTGATAAAGCACTTGCCTAGGAAGTGTGAGGCCCTGAGTTCAAAACCTATACTGAAGCCAGGCGTCGGTGGCTCATGCCTGTAATCCTAGCTACTTAGGAGGGTAAGATCTGAGGACTGCGGCTCAAAGCCAGCCTGGGCAGGAAAGTCCATGAGACTCTTATCTCCAATCAACCACCAGAAAGTTGGAAGTGGCACTGTGGCTCAAGTAGTAGAGTGCTAGCCTTGAGCTGAAGAGCTGAGGGACAGTGCCTAGGCCCATAGTGCAAGCCCCACAATCAACAACAACAACAAAAAAAAACCTCCAAAAAAACCTATACTGAAAAAAAGTTAAAAGATGTTAAGTGACATGTCCAGAGACATAGATGGAACTGCACACATACCACTACAATACCCTATCTCCCCAGGATCCAGTGTGGGAACTTCTGCTCCAATATTTACATAGCATTGGCCAGGCTGGGGGGTGGAGGGTAGACATAGGAAAAACTTTCCTATGTTACATATTTCTGTGGTGTTATTTTTTGCAATGATTACGAAATCCAGCAACATGAAATAAAATGATCAATATAGCTGAGCAGGTGGCTCATACCTGTCATCCTAGCTACTCAGGAGGATCGTGGTTCAAAGCTAGCCCAGACAAAAACATCCACCAGACTTTATCTCCAATTAACCAGCTGAGTTGGATCCAATGCTCAAATGGTAGAATGACAGCCACGAGCAAGTGAGCAGAGTGAGCTCGAGGACCTTAGTTCAGTATTAGTGAAAATAAAAATTTCAACAACTCTTTTTATTTTTTGGTAGTTGTGGGGCTTGAACTCAAGACCTGGACACTTTCCCTGAGCTTTTTCACTGAAAGCTAGCACTCTATCACCTTGAGCCACAGCTCCACTTTTGGTTTTCTGGTAATTAACTGGAGATAAGAGTCGCATAGACTTCCCTGCCCGGGCTGGCTTTGAACTGCAATCCTCAGATCTCAGCCTCCTGAGTAGCTAGGATTACAGGCATGAGCTACTGGTGCCCAAATAAAACCTCAAAAATTCTAACTGTACCTAAGTTTGAATTCAAGGCCTTACATTCTACCACTTGAGTCACACTTTTAGTCCTAAAACATCAGAAACATAAAACAAAAACAGCAACAACAAACCCTCATCTATGGGAAGTCAGCCTCCAAAAAGTGGTGTCCAAGTACAAGGACAAGATAGGGGCTTAGAAGAGAGAACCACTACCTATTAAATATAAATATAATCCATTTTCTTCTTTTCTTTTTTTCTTTTTTTGGTACAGGTATTGAAGCCTGGACGCCGTCCCTGAACTTTTTTTGCTTAAGGCTAGCCCTCTACCACTTGAGCCACAGCTGTTTTTGTGTCCTTAATTGGAGATAAGAATGTCAAGGATTTTCCTTTTGGGGCTCACTTCAAACTGTGATCCTCATGTCTCAGCCTCCTGAGTAGTTAAGAGTATAGGCCTAGGCCACCAGTACCCAGCTTCTGTATTTTCTTATTTTTTCTTTGTTTGGAGGGTATTTATTACCAGTTTGCTTTCCCAGAAGAGAGACTATAAATTCAGAGTATTCAGCCCATTTGCCCTAAGACACATAGTCAGCTGACCATGGCGCCAGGGTTTCAGGGAAGGCCACTAGACTGGGGCACCTATGTGATATCATGCGCTCCACCAGCCTCCAAGTGCTCCCAGACTCACCTCCACGTCCTCGTCAGCCCTCTGCCGGTTCTGCCGTACCTCCTCCAGCTGCAGCTGCGCCTGCTGCAGGGAGCGGCTCTGCAACGCCATCTCCTGCTGCAGCTCCTGCTTCTCCTGCTGTGCGCGCTCGATGTAGCGCTCCTGCTCCTCCTTCAGCTGCATCAACTGCTTCAGCTTCTCCTCCTCCTCCTCCAGCAGTCTGCCAGGCATCCATTAGGTGACCTCGAGTGCCCTGGCACTTAGCAGGTGCTCAGCAAAAAGCCAGATGAGGGTGGGGTGAGGGAAGACAGCACGGGGTCCTTTCTTCAAGTTTACCTGGTCTGGGCGAGGCGCACAGCCTCCTCATCTCGCCGGGCCTTCACCTCCAGTTGCAGGGCCTCCTGCAACCGCTGCTGCATCTCTTCCAGCTCCTCAATGCGCTGCCGCTGCCGGGCAGCCTCTTCCTTCTTTAGCTCCATCTCAGCCTGCATGGAGGCCCGGGCCTGTGTGGGGGAAGGGAACACAGAGCCAGGTCAATGGGGAACAAGGCAGTAGGGAATGGGGAGGGTGGGTTATACTGCCTTTCTTAGGGTTCTGCCAGCTACCCAGCAGTAAGGTCCAGGAAAATCCTGTATATCCATGTTTCTTAGCTTTACCCCTGTCAGAGAGCTTGACAGAGCCAGATCATGGTCAATGAATAGACACCTTAAATTCTTTTCTTCCTAGCACTGGCTTTATTAATAATTAGGGGGTAAGGATGTCGCTTAGTGATAGAATGCTTGCTTAATAGGTCCAAGGCCCTAGGTTCCATTCCTAGCACTGCACACACAAAAGTCCGATTATTATTAAATAACATGTTATGTTACAATTAAATAACATAAAAATAAATATCACTTCCTAGTACCAGCCCTAATAAAGACTATATGTTATCATATCATTATGGCTTGGTACTCGAAAGGCAGTGACTATAATTATTATTACAACAACTGAAAGGTGTTGAACACCTTACAAGTGTTTCATTTAATCCTTTCCATGAGCAAAGTTCTAGGGTCTACATTTACTGATATGGGAAGGGAGCATCGAGAGGTGTAATCATTTGGCCAGAATCACGGGGCTACAAAAACTGCAGAACTGGGATTGAATCAAGTGCCTCAGACTCCAGATCTCTAGATCTAATTGCCTCTGCATGCCTTGTCCCGCCTACCTCTTATCCTACAGCACCCAAACAGGTTCCACTGTAATTTCAGCTCAAGTCTAGACTTAACCTTTGTCCCAACTATCCCACCTACTTGGTCCACCCCAAAACAGTCTCTCAACTAAGCCCCCATTCTACACCTGTCACTCAACTCTGATCCCACTGTCCCTCATCTCAGCATCCCATAGCCAGGAATGGGTATGGCCCTTGGCACAGGCCATGCTCATCTTTCAAGTTTCTTGGCTGGGTCTCAACTCATTCCTCATTCTAAACGTGCACTCCTAGCCTGATAGACCCCACCCTCTTCCCAGGCCCACAACACGCCTCAGGTTCCACCCAATGTAGCTCAGTCAGTCTATGGCCTCGCCCATTGCCCACCCACCCCACAGCCTGAGGCCCCTTCCACAGCATCCTCCAGCTCCCCCCCCCCCCCAGGTCCGCCTACTCCACAGGGCACGCCCACAGCATCCCCCAGCCCCTGGAGTCCGCCTACTTTACAGGCCCCGCCCAGCCCAGGACAGTATCCAGCCCAGGACAGTATCCAGCCCCGGGGCTCCGCCCCCTTCCTGGCCCCGCCCCCGGCCAGGCCGCACCTGCTCAGCCTCCCGCAGCTGGCCCTCCAGCATCTGCTGCAGCTCCTGGTGCTGGCAGCGGCGGCGCTCTTCCTCCTCCTGCAGCAGCCGCTCCGCCTGCCGCTGTGCCTCCTGCAGCAGCTCCAGCTCCTGCAGCTTCCGCTCCTTCTCCTCCTGCAACTGCTGCAGCCTTAGCAGCTCCTCCTCCTTGGCTGCCCGGCGCTGCTCCCGCTGCTCCCGCTGCTCCCGTCGCTTCTGCTTCAAGTCCTTATGCAGCGACATCTTCCCCTCGGCCTGCAGTCTGATCGCTGTCTGGATGGCTGCGGGGGGGGGGGGGGACCAAGAGGGGTCAGTCCAGCTGCAAAGGGGGCTTTAAGGAGTCTCTCGGGTCCATTCTCCCGATTCCACGGGGCAGCGCATGATCATAGCTGAGGGACTGAAGCCCAGCGAGGCCGCAGGTGAGCCGCACTCACCAGCCGTCCACTCCTGGCGCTGGCGCGTGTCGGAGGCGCTCATCTCATAGGTGCGGCTGGCTGTCTTCACACAAAACATGCAGCGCTTTCCATCGCGGTCGGGCAGCACCTGGGAGAGGGCAGGCTGACCTCAGTGATGTGGGGGTCACCTCTGCCCCAGATCGGCCCCCTAGCTAAGGCCTCTCCCCTGCCCCACATCTGCTGGGAAGATGATCTTTCTGGTTATGGGATACTTGTGTCCCCACAACTCTTTGCACTTTGAAGGCTGGGTGGGGCCATTTCTATCTTGGTATCTCTCCACCCGGCTTGGCACATTCTCCATGCTTGAATGCTTCCAAGGCTGGACTTCGGTAAGTACCTACACTCACCACAATGGATGGAGCCTTAGTTAATGCTTTTTCTTTTTGAGATAGGTTTTGCTATGCTGCCCTGGCTGGCATTGAATTTGAGAACTTGCCTCAGGCCTCCCAAGTGCTAGGATTATAGCCATGCACTACCATGCCTGGGACTTTCTAAAAATGTAAAATAACAAGACTTGGCAAGAATAGAGAAAGATGAGAATATTTCTGAGCCAATGGTGAGAATGAAGTAGCCACTGAAGAAAAATTCAGTAGCTCCAGAAATCTCACTTCAAGGTGTGTGTGTACTCAAGAGAAATGAATACATAGCCACAAAGAAACTTGTACGTAACAGTATTAATCACAGTAGTAAGAAGGTGGAAATGAAACATTCACCAACAAATAAGTAAAATATGATAGAGCCATACAATGAAATATTACTCAAACTTAAAAAAGCAATGAAGGAAGGGGAAACAAAGGAGGAGGCTACAATGCTTGATAAGAAATGTACTCATTATCTTGCCCATGTAATTGTAACCCCTCTGTACAGTATTTTCACAATTAAAATAAATAAATAAATAAAAGCAATGAAGCCAGCCATGATAATGACAATTTGCCTTGTGAAGGTTAAAATGTGTTTGTGACTTTAAGTATCACTACTCCACAATACTGTGAAATATGTGAAATTTATTTAATCACCTAATGTCAATTAAAAAAAGAAAAAGAAAAGCAATGAAGCAAGGCACCAGTGGTTCATGCTTATAATGCTAGCTACTCAGAAAGTTGAGAACTGAGAATCAAGATTCAAAGCCAGAGGGCTGGCAAGGTGGCTCAGTGGTAGAGTGCTTGCCTTGCATGCATGAAGCCCTGGGTTTGATTCCTCAGTACCACATAAGCAGAAAAGGCCAGAAGTGGGGCTGTGGCTCAAGTGGTAAAGCATTAGCCATGAGCTGAAGAGCTGAGGGACAGCGCCCAGGCAGAGTTCAGGCCCCATTACCGACAAAAAAATAAAATAAAATAAAACCCAAAGCCAGCCTGGGCAGGCAAATTTGAGAGATTCTTAGCTATAAATAATCAGCAAAAAGCCAGAAGTGGAAGTGTGTCTCAAGTGGTAGAGTGCTAGCCTTAAGCAAAAAATCTAACAGAGAGCACAAGGCCCTGAGTTTAAACCTCAGTACTGGCACAAGCAAAAACAAACAAAAACCAAACAACAACAACAAAAGAAACAAAACAAAAAATAACAATGAAATTTTGACATATTTTACAACTTAAATGAATCTTGAAAACTTGAAGCCAGACAGAGCCTGGCACTGGTGGCACAGGCCTGTAATCCTAGCTATTCAGGAGACTGAGATCTGAGGATCACAGTTCAAAGCCAGCCCAGGCAGGAAAGTCCATGAGACTCTTATCACCAATTAACTACCAGAAAACTGGAGTGGAACTGTGGTGCAAAGTGGTAGAGCACTAGCCTTGAACTGGAAAGCTTGAAGACAGCACCTAGGCCTTGAGTTCAAGCCCCCAAATCAACAAAGAGAAGAAGCCAGACAGAAAAGGAGGAATAAATATTGTATAACTTCACTTTTTTTTTTGGGGGGGGGTCCGGTCGTGGGGACTGAACTCTGGGCCTGGGCGCTGTCCCTCAGCTCTTCAGCTCAAGGCTAGCGCTCTACTACTTGAGCCACAGCGCCACTCCCGGCTTTTTCCTTTTTGCTTATGTGGTACTGAGGAATCGAACCCAGGACCTACAGGCATGCAAGGCAAGCGCTCTACCACTGAGCCACCTTCCCAGCCCATAACTTCATTTATTTAAGGTACTTAAAACAGGTAATTCATAGAGACAGTAAAGTGCAGATAGCCAGGGACTGAGGAAAGGGGGAAAATGAGGTGGTGTTGCTTAATGGATACAGTTTCTGTCTGGTGTAATAAAAAATAAATGGGAAGTAATAATGGTAGCATAATATTTTTAATGCATTTAGTGCCACTGAATTGGTCTTTTTGTGTGTTTCTCTGTGTGTGTGTGTGTGTGTGTGTGTGTGTGTGCCAGTCCTGATCACTGTCCCTCAGCTTTTGTGCTCAAGGCTGGCACTTTACCACTTTGATCCACAGTTCCATTTCCAGCTTTTTTGTAGTTAATTGGAGATAAGAGTGTCACAGACTTTCTTGCCCAGGCTGGCTTTGAACCATAATCCTGAGTGGCTAGGATTATGGGTGTAAGTCACCTGTGCCCAGCAGGAGAAAAACTTTCTAAAAGTCATTTTTAGAAATATTTACTGCGAAAATAGATATAAGCCATGTCATCTGAAATCTCCTCAAGCCAATTCCACAATATTCATTTATGACTTCCATATTTGATTGACAGGTTGAAGTTTTTTAAATGCTGACAACAGGCTGGCTGATAGAGTACTTGCCAAGCATGCATGAAGAACAGATGTGAGTTTGACCCACAAAAGAAGTGTTAAGCCGGGCGCTGGTGGCTCACCCCTGTAATCCTAGCTACTCAACAAGCTGAGATCTGAGGATTGCAGTTCAAAACCAGCCTGGGCAGGAAAGTCTATGAGACTCTTATCTCCAATCAACCACCAGAAAACTGGAAGTGTCACTGTAGCTCAAGTGGTAGAGTGCTTGCCTTGAGCTGAAGACCTTAGGGACAGAGCCCAGGCCCAGAGTTCAAGCTCACAACAGACAAAAAAAAAAAAAAAAAAAAAGGGCTGGGAAGGTGGCTCAGTGGTAGAGTGCTTGCCTTGCATGCATGAGGCCCTGGGTTCCATTCCTCAGCACCACATAAGCAAAAAGGAAAAAGCCAAAAGTGGCGCTGTGGCTCAAGTGGTAGAGCGCTAGCCTTGAGCTGAAGAGCTGAGGGACAGCGTCCAGGCCCCACAACCGGACCCCCCCACAAAAAAAAAAAAACAACCAAACAAACAACAACAAAAAAAGTACTGGATCAGGGAGAATGGCTTCGGGGCTCCCAGGTATACTTTTGGTTGCACTAATCTAAGCAGAAACATATGTCACTGTGGTTTTCCTCCATTCTTCCCCCATCCCTGATAGTCACACCACTTTGGGGACCCTCTGAACCCCGAGGAGCTCCCCTCCCCTTCATCGGTGCCCTCACCTCCACGCAGCAGTGAGCATCCAGCGGGATGGTTCCTCTTTTCTCCTTGCACTCTTCACTCCCAAAATAGCAGAGGCAGCTGGGCTGCAGCTGGAACCAGCGTTCTGCCCAATTCCTCCTCAGGTGCCCTCGTTTCCACAGGTAGCCCTGACAGCCAGGGTCAAGTCAGAGGCCTCCTGCGCCTTCCCGGTGGTCCTCCCCTAGCTCCCACCTTGACTGACCTGCTTCAGGATGTCTTGGATCAGCTCCTGGTAGACCTCATGGATGGCTATGCTGAGGGTGTCCCGTCCCACGCCCCGTAGGCAGCGGCCAGAGTTGAAGAGCTCCAGCAACTGCCAGACGCTGAGCCCACCCGTGGTCTGGGCTGCCTGGGCCTCCTGGGCCAGCAGCTCCTCCAGCTCACTCAAGCCCACCTCCAGGCTCATGCTGCTAAGCACCTTCTTCAGCAGGTATTCCACCTGGAGAAGGAAGGTCTGGTGATACAGCAGGTGGTAGTTCTCCACCACCAACACCAGGGGGCGCTCCAGATGGCTCTCAGATCCTCAGTAGAGGTGACCAGGGATAGGTGGGTGGGAGGGCCAGAAGCTCAAAAGCAGGCAGGTACCGGACCAGGATAGACATTTTGGAGGGGACTCTGGAGCGCCAACCTTGCCTCAAGTATCCTTGCCCGCTCCCTAACTTTAATCCCATTCCTCCCTATTTTATACTAAAGGCAGTATGAAGGTGGGAGCTGAGTGTTGGGGATCATCCAGAAGCAGCAAATCCCAATCAGTGTCAGAAGTAGTACAAGAACTCCTTCATGGGCTGGAAAGGCGGCTTAGTGGTAGAGTGCGTGCCTAGCATGCATGAAGCCCTGGGTTCGATTCCTCAGTACCACATACACAGAAAAAGCTGGAAGTAGTTGCTGTGGTTCAAGTGGTAGAGCACTAGCCTTGGGCAAAAGAAGCTCAGGGACAGCGCCCAGGCCCTGAATTCAAGCCCCAGGACTGGGAAAGAAAGCAAGAAAGCAAGCAAGGAAGGAAGGAAGGAAGGAAAGAAGGGACTCCCTCATTCAATACTCTTGATTTTAAATGTTATAAACCAGGACCCAAAGGGGAGAGTGGCTTGTTTTAAATCACACAGCAAGTTGAGTGTGGCTAGAACTCTATTTGAATCTCCTGATTTTTACTCAAGTCCTTATTCTAAACCACCCTAACCTCCAACCCTGGGAAAGTAAGGGGATTGCCTTGTGGGAAGGTAAGGGGAGTAGAGGAGTAGGGGGAAAGCAGGCAAGGACAGGAAACCCATTACAGAGGAACAGGAAGTGGTGGCTGGGTGTATCCTGCTGCAATATGTTCTCACTGCATGCTGATCACAGCAGCAAGAGGCCTCTGGGCCTCTGAGAGTCCACTTGGCCTGACTGACAGGGATACAAGTCGCTGTCCTGCTCCAGCAGTTCCTGAGAAACTCTCTTCAGGACTTTCACCCTGGGGTCTCAGCTAGGGGGTAGGGATAATGGAGGGACTGTCAGTTGAGGGCTCAGATGGCTCCTGCCTGTCCCATAAACAAGAACTTAGGCATGCTAGGACTTGCTAAATTCACCCTGGCACTTCCACAACCACCAAGAGGACTGAAGGGTCAGGAGAAGGCCAAGTGGGCAAGCGAGAAAAACAGGCCAAAGAGGGAGGGTGCAGGACAGGCCTGGGCTGTCCTGGTTTCATCCTGAGCTGAGTAGACAGTCACCTGATTCTCTGGTCCCTGGCTCTCCAGGAAACAAACAAACACACACACAAACAAAAACCTGGAAGCAAGACTGAACTTGGTTGTCCGCCTTGAGTAACTGGAGATTTACTTCCTGTCTTGGTAAAGTTTCCCTTCTCCTTATAAAGCATCTTCTTAGATGACTGCCGTATCTCAGAGCCTGCTATTTGATGTAAAATGTTCATAATGCTCAGGCATCTACACTGCTATTTTATAAAGTTTGCAGATCATTATCCTCCAAAGAGGACTAGAGGAACTCGGGTAGATAAGCAGTTTTTGTTCTCCTGCAAAAAGGCACATTGGGTCTAACATGAGCAGTTCTAGGTAGGGGGAGACAACTGGGCAGTGTTAGGACTGGCCAGGGGTGACAAGGAAGAGAAGGGTCATGGGAAGGTACAGAAGGCCATCTGGCCTTCGTGATTGTGCTGGGCTGGGTCTGCTGTCACCCTTACCTCATCAGGAACCATGATCAGGGGGTACTTGTCTTCAGACAGGAAGTTGAAGAGGCACCAGAGGCGGAAGGCATCCTGATTGGAGAGCATGCTGTTCCCATTGCTGTCCGCTCGATAGTTCTTCTTGGCCGTCAGGGTCCAGCACAGCTCATCAAAGTGCTCTTTAACGAAAGCCCCTTCCTCCACCTGACACCAGGCCCACAAATCAGTCAGCTGCCCCATCTCTACTCTGTACCACACAAGGCTCCAGCTTATGTTTCTTGGAGTCATCCATGAACTCTGTTCCCCATTCTACCAAGACCAAAACTAACGATGCAGAATCCCTGAGCTGATCCCAGCATACCACAGCCATCTGCCACAGAGAAACTCTAGCTCTTCAGTCCAAAGGAGAAAGTAGGGGACGCCTGGAGGGGGGGATGAGGGGTGCATAGCCCAGAGAACCAGGAAAGACGAGGAAGAGGAGCTGGGCAGGTATTATAGGTGGAAGCTGCAGGGAGGAGTAGGCAGGTGGAGGGAGATGAGTGGAAGGTCATGGGAAGGGTGAGGCTAAAATGGAAACAAAAGGCGCTGAGGGTGAGTTGAGGGGACAGGAGGGGACTGCAGGCTGGGAGATGACGAATGGAGATGGAAAGGCAGGGATGGTTCAAGGCACTTCTCCAAGTGAGACCCCACCTTGTCGAGGATGTACTTGTTGAGGTAGGGCATGTAGCCCTGGCTGGACACTGGGCCGTCGTCGTCATCTCGGAAGTGCTCCTCCAGGGCCACAGGGTCATGGGGGATGTGTAGGACCGTGTATAGGTTGTGGGACAGCACCTGAGACAAGAGTGGCTGTTTGTCTTCCTGCACCCCAACCAAAAGCAGGCCAAAGGACTGCTCCCCCTCCTGCTTGTCCTCCGCCTCTCACCCATCCCAGCTGAACTCTCTGCATACACCTTTCAGTGCAATGAATAAAACATACACATAGGCCAGGGGTGGTGGCTCACATCTGTAATCCTAGCTACTCAGGAGGCTGAGATCTGAGGATCATGGTTCAAAGCCAGCCACGGCAGGAAAGTCCATAAGACTCTTATCTCCAATTAACCACCAGAAATCCGGAAGTGGCCTTGTAGTTCAAGTGGTAGAGCTCTGGCCTTGAGCTGAAGAGCTAGAGACAGTGACCAGGCCCTGAGTTCAAGCTCCACGACCACAACCACCACCACCACCACCAAAAAACATGCACAGACTATGTACCAAGTGCTGAACTTCACTTCCATGTTCTCATTGGACACATGAACAGAGGAACTGGATGCAGGCTCAAGAGGCTGAACTACTAACCACTTCATGCTCTGTTGGTGACTGGCCCAGAGCTCTCATTCTGCAAGGGCTTGGGGTTCCAATCCTGCTTTACCATATCCTAAGTTGTGCTGAGCTATCTGCAGGGGGCAGTGTGCAAGCCCAGGGAAAGGGCAGGGATGGCTCAAAGTAGGGCTGGGTAAAATGACCCAGGTGCTGGTGGCTCATGCCTATAATGCTAGCTACTTCGGAGGCTGTGATCTGAGGATCACAGTTGGAAGCCAGCCCAGGCAGAAAAGTTTGTGAAACTTTTTTTTTTTTTTTTTTTTGCTTGGGGCTTGAACTCCTGTCCTCCAGGCTATCCCTGAGTGATTTTGCTCAAGGCTAGCTTTCTCCACCACTTTAAGCCCCAGGGTCAACTTCCTGTTTTCTGTTGGTGAATTGGAGATAAGAGTATCAGGATCCTCAGATCTCAGCCACCAGAGTAGCTAGGATCAAAGGCGTGAGCTGAGGGCACTTAGCCTTTTTAACTTTTATCTCCAAGTAAGCACCAAAAAAGCCAGGAGTGGAGCTGTGGTTTTAGTGGTAAAGAGCTAACCTTGAGTAAAAAATAGTTCAGGGACAGTGGCCAAGCCCTGAGTTCAAGCCCTAGGACTGGCACAGACACACAGACACACACACAAAGCAAATATGGATGAGACGAAGACGGTAAGATTTAGAAGTGTTGTTGATCAGATGGTGTATAGGAAGAAAACAAGTTTATTGAACAAATTCTTGATGTCAGAACAAAGGAGTTGAAGTTTGAACAAGGAGGATTTGGCTTAAAAAAAAAGAAAAAAATGGCCTTGGGGGAAATTTTGTTCCAGCATTTATCATAGATAGTGGAATTGAATAAAAATAGGTTCTCACAATACAGTGCTAGCCACTGAATGGAGGTGCTTGTGTGTGTGTGTGTGTGTGTGTGTGTGCGCGTGCGTGCGCGCACACGCGCATATGTGCTAGGAATGGGACCCACAGTCTCATGCAAGTACTCTACCACTGATCCCCAGCCTCAACCTTGAGATGATTTTTTTTTTTTTTTGGTTGGTCGTGGGGCTTGTACTTTGGGCCTCGTCGTTGTCCCTCAGCAATTCAGCTCAAGGCTAGGGCTCCACCATTTTAAGCCAAGCACGCCACTTCAGTTTTCTGCTGGTTAATTGGAGATAAGAGTCTCAGGGACTTTCCAGTCCGGGCTTGTTTTGAACCATGATCCTCAGATCTCAGCCTCCTGAGTAGCTAGGATTATACAGGCGTGAGCCACTGGTGCCTGGCCTGAGATGAATTTTTGAGGGAGGAGGGCAGGACTAGGGTTTGAGTTCAGGGTCTCAAGTTTGCTAATCAAGTCATAGACGTGAAACAAATCTCAGCCTTCTTTTGCCCTGGCTGTTTTGAGATAAGGTCTCATTGTCTGCCTAGGCCTACCTATTTTAGGCTTCCAATTATAGCTGAGATGACAACTACACCATTATACCTAGTTATTAGTTGAAAAGGAGTCTAGCAAGTATTCCTGGGCTGACCTTGGACCTTGATCCTATGGATTTCAGCCTCTAAGGATTACAGGTGTGAGCCACCAGTGTCTAGCTTCCTTTAAGTAAGCTCTTTGAATTTGGTTCCTATCATTTACATCCAGAAAAGCCCTAATGCGTCTGAGGTTCTAGAGTATAAGCCCCCACTCTAAGGGGTGCCACTGGCTCAAAACCTAGCACTGAGGTGTAAGGTGACCAACTCAAGAAAACAATAGTGCCAAACACTGACCACTTCTGAAGTGATAGGTATTAGTCTAAATTTTACAACTTCCTATCTGCTGCCTCTTTTCAAAGTGTCCCTTCCTGCAGAGCTCCAGTCAAAGGGCTATACTGCACAGGGAGGAGACATGGAGACCAGAGACCTTCACCTTCTGTTTGTGGGGTCTTGGGATGTCCCTTTACCTCTCTGAACTCAGTTTTGTTGTTAAGAAGCAGGGGCTAGCTGGGTGTCATTGACTCACATTTGTAATTCTAGCTACTCAGAAGGCTAAGATCTGAGGATCAAGGTTTGAAGCCAGCCCAGGCAGGAACATCGAAGAGACTTATCTCCAATTAACCCCAAAAAGCCACAAATGGAGCTGTGGCACAAGTAGTAAACACTAGCTTTGAGCAAAAGAGCTCAGGAATAGCACCCAGGCCCTGAGTTCAATCCCCAGTACCAGCATGGAAGAAAGAAAGAAAGAAAGAAAGAAAGAAAGAAAGAAAGAAAGAAAGAAAGAAAGAAAGAAAGAAAGAAAGAAAGAAAATGGGGCTAATACGGGTGGTGGAGAGGGGCTCGGGGAGGGTGCAAGATAATACACAGGGAATGCCAGATCCAAGCCTGCGCAAGCCTGCAAATGCTAGGTCCCTTCCTACCTGGGAAGTCCTGCTCTCTATCTTGCTGACACAAACGCAGGCAATATCGATGGCTAATATCAAGTATCACAGACAGAAGTGGGGATTGGAGTGTTCTACTGGTAAAGTATGAATTTTGGTCATCTTTCTGGAGTACAGGAATCTATCAGACAAGAGACATGACCCTGACTGGACATGTCCACTCACAGACTCTACAAAAGCTCAAGGGAGGGGCTGGGAATGTGGCTGAAGGGCAGAGTGATTGCCTACCTTGCATGAAGCCCTGGGTTAGCTTCCTCTACTATATACACAGAAAAAATTGGAAATGTCATTGTGGCTCAAGTGGTAGAGTGCTAGCCTTGAGCAAAAAAGCAGCTCAGGGATAGTGCCCAGGCTCTTGAGTTCAAGCCTCAGGACTGGCAAAATACTACTACTACTACTAAATTAAATAAAAACAAAAACTCAAGGGATCCGAGAATGTTTACTTGAGCATTGGGCACATGTGAGAAAATGGGAGACAAACCAAATGTTAGCCCGATGAGCTTTCTTCCCATAGCTTAGTCCACGCCTTCCCCTCTCCACAGCTTGGCATGCTCCCTTCCTAGGCAACAGGAGGCCCGTTTAGTAAAGGCAGTAAATAATCAGCCTCCACCCCTCCCCCCACCTTGGGATGGCACTTCTCTGGGGAGGCTACCACCATAGAAGGCATGAGGAGCCCCTTAGGGTGGCCTTCAGGTCTGGGCAGCTGCAGGACCCTTATCTACTATTTGGGCAGCAGCCATAAATCCTAGTCCGCCATGGTGAAGCCTTGGGCCCAGTATGTGATGTGCAGTGTACAACTTAACAACAACTGTGGGGTAGAGTGAAGGTCTAGAATGTGTGAAGCTCTGGGTTCAAATGCTCAGGATCAAAAGTTAAAAAGTTGTGAGTTGTCTTTATCATATTTATATTTGCAGGCTACAGGAACAAAACGTGAACATGTTGAGCATGTGAACAAAACAAGCTGCAGAATGAAAATATTTTTTCAAGTAAGTTTGTGTGCAAGGATTAGATTGAACCATAAGACACTGCTATTTTAATAGTTGTTTTTTTTTAAAGCAGAAATTTCATGTATTTCAACCTGACGTGCATTTGTTCATAGAAAACCATGGAGAAGCCTCACCCATCAGGGAGACCCTCAGAGCCACTCCAGGGAGGGGCTTTTGTCTTCATTAACATCCCATTCTCCTCTAGGAATTTTTTTTTGGCCAGTTCTGGGGCTTGGACTCAGCACTGTGCACTGTCCCCGAGCTTCGTTTGCTCAAGGCTAGCACTCTACCACTTGAGCCACAGCGCCACTTCCAGCCTTTTCTGTGTATGTGGACTGAGGAATCGAACCTAGGGCTTCATGCATGCTAGGCAAACACTCTACTACTAAGCCACATTCCCAGCCCTCTTGGCTTTTTTTTTTTTAAACCAGTAACATGTTTCACTTTCATAATAAAAAATCCAGGCAGGGTGTGGTTGGTGGCTCTCACCTGTAATATCATCAACTTGGGAGGTAGAAGTTGGGAAAAATGCAGTGCCAGTTCAGGCAAATAGTTGGCAAGTTGGGTGTGGTGGTGCATGCTTGTTATCCCAGCTACTTGGGAGGTATAAATAGGAGGATCACGTCCAAGACCTACTCTGGAGTATATATTATCCTTGTGACATATATATATTTTGCCTTTTAAGATAGAGGGGGTCTCTTGCTGTAGCTTAGGCTGGGCTCCAATTTAAGATCCTCCTGTCTTCATTTCCTGAGTGTTGGGATTACAGGTATGTGCCACCACACCTACTGTATGACAAAAAAATCAAAACAATAGGGATAAACACTAAAGGGGGCCATTATCCACTGTTAGTAATTTGCCCTGTTATTAAATTTGCCCTGTTATTAAATTGCACAGTCTTGTGCTGTACCTTGTCTAGATGTTGTGCGTTCATTTGTTCCTTGGACACGGTAAAGGCTCTAACCTCAAACCCAACTCCAGAGGTCAGTATGACATCTCCACAGCTGGATGTCCTCTAAGTGACTCCTGAAGCTGAACTTCATGCCTCAGTGGTTTTCAGGGTAAAAGCTGGAGTCCGTCCAGAGGCTTCCAGGCCCTGTCACCTGGCCCTCTG